TGACAGGAAATGTATAACTGTGTCTTTCACGTTTACAGTCTTACAGCATCATGAAAGGTCCTTTGGCCCATCACACCCATGCTGGTCATCAAGCAAGTATCTATTATAGTCTCATTTTCCAGCACTTGGCCCCGTAGCCTTGTATGTTATGGTGCTTCAAGTGATCATCTAAATACGCTTAAATGTTGCGCTGGTTCATGTCTCTATCACCCTTTCACCCTCAGGGTGAGAAAAAACTTTTCTTTAATTGCCCTCTAAACATCCCACCTTGTACCTTAAAATCTACATCTCCAAGTTATTGATCCTCCGACTAAGGGGAAAAGTTTCTTCCTATCTATGCCCCTCAATCAGTTCCCCCCTCGGACTCTGTGCTCCAGGGAAAACAACCCCAGTCTAGCCAGTCTCTCTACATATCTGAATCGCTCCAGTCCAGACAACATTCAGGTGAATCTCCTCAGTACCCTCTCCAGTGCAATCCTTCTATTTATGAAATGTAGTGTGGACTTTCCCTCTCAAGCAGTTAATGCAGGTGTACCTCTATTTTGTACCTTAGCTGATCTCAACCCGATTTTTGACATTTTGGAGTGAATTTGGACTTGTGTTCAATTTACATTCAAAAATACTTCACAAGTGTCTCCCAAACACACAAAAGGTTGTTATGCATTGAATTCAATACAAAGAAATAATGCTGAAGATCTAAAGAAAGTGATACAGAAAGTCACAGATCCTTTTATATACTGCTTAATTTGTTTCCTCTATTGACTTCAACGCAGTTGTATCACAAAACTTAGGAATAATGGTTTTAAGGTACTGCAATTATTCTCTTTCACTGAAGTTAAAATAAGCAAGTGGAACATTCATTATGGACATTCTGCTGTTATATTTTAATTTTTTTATTCATCACCATTAGGTGGTACTCCTGGCAAGAACAACATTTATTGAGCAACTGTGATTTTCTTTGCCAACTTGGTAGAGTTGCCTTTTTGAACCATGCAACCCACATGGTGAAGGCATGCCCACCGTATTGTTTGGGACCAAGTTCCAAGATTTTGACAAAGGAACAGCCACGTCAGGATGGTGGATGTCTTGGAGAAGAATGTGCAGGTAATGTGTTCCCATTTGTCTGTTCCCTCACCTTTGTCGATCTAAATGGCAGTGTTCATAAGTTTAGAAGGTGCTATCAAAGACGTCTTGTTGAGTTGCTGCAGTGAATCTTAGAGATGGCACACAGCTGCCAGCATATGCTGGCTACAGAGGGAGTGTACGAGGTAGTGGCTGAGGGGTCAGTCAAGTGGGGCTTCTTTATCCTGTATGGTATCAGAGATTTTTGATTATTATTAGGTTGTACTTTTTCAGGGAAGTGGACAGTGTTCCATCACACTCCTGCCTCGTCCCTTATGGATATTGGACTGCCTTTGGGGAGACAGGAATTGAGTTGCTTACGGCAGAATTCCCAGCAACTGAACTGGTCTCATAGCCACAGTATTAATGGTCTGAATTTTATGGCAAGGCTCAAGTTTCTACTGACAGGACTGATGCGGGAGTTGCTTCTGCTTGGGAGAGATTCATGCTAGTGAGTGCAATTTAGTCGCAACAACCATTCAGTCTGAAATGACCAATTAACTGCTGGGAGTTCTGGAAGAATCTAACCAGTTCCCCTTGATATTGAACAGTATTACCATCACACAGAGTCTCCATCAACATTCCAAGCATTAGCATTGACCAGATATACAATCTAAATACTGTGGCTATAAGATTAGTTCAGAGACTGGGAAGTCTGTGGGGTGTAACTCATGTTTGATTCTCCAGTGCCTCACCATCATCTACAGGACAGAAGTTAGGAATGTGATGAGATACTTTTTAATTGACTGGTTGAGCGCAGATCCACAAAACTCAAGAAGTTGACGCCATCTAAGTCAAAGCAGTCCACTTGATCAGCACCCCATCTAACACCTTCAATATTCACTGTCTCCAACATTGGCAGTAAGGTGTACTTTCTACAATATGTACCGAAGCATCTCACCAAGGCTCCTTTGACAGCACCTTCCAGAACCATAACCACTACCACCTAGAAGGACAAGCACAGCAGTTGCATGGGAACACCGCCACCCACTTCTCCTCCAAACTGCAGACCATCCTGACTTGGAACTACATCACTGTTTTTTCACTGATACTAGGTCAAAAGCTTGGAACTTCCTAACAGCACTGTGGGCAGGTCTAGACCAGGCAAACAGCAACAATACAAGACATGAGCAATACCTGCTGGCTTTGATGGTGATGCTCACACCCATGAAAGAATTTTTAAAAAGCCTTTAAGCCCCTTGAACCTGTTTTTATATTCATTGAGATCAATAATGATATGTGATATAAGTCCATATACATGCCTTTGCTCAATATTCCCCACCTTCTCCTGTACTAATAAAAAGCTAGCAACCTCAGTTTTAAAATTAATGACCAATTCGGCATCAGTTGACATTTGATGAGAGACTTCCAAACTTCTCCTACCTTTACATTAAGGAATATTTCCAAATTTCACTTTGGAAAGATCTGGCCTTAAGGTGTTAACTATGCTCCCTATGCTGCGAAAGTATTTCATTGGTTGTAAAACACTTTGGAATATCTGGTGTATGTGGAAAGTGCCATACAAATGTATGTGTTTTTTGCTGAAGGCCGTGATATCTTTCCAAGAGTGTGGTGCCCAGAGTCGGACCGAATAGGCCGCAAATGCTACGAATGCCAGTTCTAGCTGGCACAAAGTGCATGCGTGCCTGAAGTGGCACTCAATGTAATTATGAAGTGATGGAAAGCAATTGAGCCAGTATCTGAAATCTGCCGGAAGTTGGAAATTCGGTGGAAGTGTCATACAGGAGGAGTCAAGGCGGGTGCTGAAGAGTGGCTTCCTCAACAGTCTTTCCTTGGCCGCTGCCCTTTTGTTGTGCGCACCTTACAAAGGCCTCCCCACCTGAGGAAGAGGCTGTTCTGGAGCTGAGAGGCTGCAGACAGGGGCTAGTATTACTACTGCTGTGGTTCCCCTGTTCCTTCCGCTCTCCCTCATCCAATTTCCAACATCCAAGCACGGGCCTCCTGGTTCTGGGTTGGATCCCTGCCTGAGCAGGGTAGAGGCCCTAGAGAGCTGGGCAATGAGGAGACACTGCCGAGGATGGGAAACTCCTGTTAGTGAGCCCCAACTTCCACCTCAGCCACAGCTTCCTCCTCAACCCCAGCCAATGCCAAGGGCAGCAACATTAGCAGCTCATATGCAATCATGTTGGCCTCAGTGGGAGCCATCCTTGGATGAACTGCTCCTGAAATCACTGCGCAAGGAACAAATGGTTGTTCGATGCACATGTGCAGATGCATCCTGGCATGCGGATCTCGGCTGTGCATGCACGGTAACTTCTGCAGCCTGTTGATGTCATGGCTCATGCCTGCACATGCACATGAGCCATTTTACATTTTGGATGGTCACTCCAGACACAAAAACCCAGTTGGAGTCTGACTCGTTTTATGAAGATTTCATGTAATTCCTTTGCAGTTTTCTCCAACGCTATTTATAAAACCAAGAATTCCATATGCTTTAACAGCCTTTTCAAATTGTCTTGCCACCTTCTAAGACTTTTGCACCTAATTATATGGAAAGAGAGTATTTTGCATTTTCAAGTAATTGTGCCAGTGCAATTAAACACTGATGTACACACAGTTCAACACACTTTCAGCACTCTTTTTGGCAAAGAGTCCTCCTTCAGTTTTTTGGCGTTTCATTTTCCATTTCTCTCTTGTGTTTCTGCATTTCAAAAATACCTTTTTATCTATTTGCTTCTCTCTCTCTCCTGCCTCTGACCTTTTCATGATCTGCAATCGAGTAAACAGTCATTTGTGAATCAGAAAATTTCAAAGCAACTCATCTTGTAAGGTAGGTTTTCTTTCAGGTCCTAACAGTCTATTCATAAAAACAATTTCCCCTCTATTTTTCATGATTCAGGCCAAGGACCTACTGTAGTCAAGAGTATGAATGACCAACTTCCAGGCCTCCATCATTGTAGCACTGTGCGGTGGCTCAGTGGTTAGCACTGTTGCTTCACAGCACCAGGGACCTGGGTTCAATTCCAGCCTCAGGCAACTGTCTGTGTGGAGTTTGCACATTCTCCCTGTGTCTGTGTGGGTTTGCTCTGGTTTCCTCCCACAGTCCAAAGATGTGCAGGCTAGGTGGATTGGCCATGCTAAATTGCCTATTGTGTTCTGGGATGTGTAGAGTAGGTGGGTTATAGGGGTACGGGTCTTGGGTGGGATGCTCCTAGGGTCGGTGTGGACTTGTTGGGCCAAAGGGCCTGTTTCCAAACTGTAGGGATTCTATGAAAGTGATGAGCTGCTCTGAAACTGAGTGGTTCTCTCAAATGATTCTCCTCCCTTATAACTCTGGCTGAACTCTTTCCACCAGTGGCATGCACAGGATTGGAAATTAGTTACAGAGAGGCTGTGGGTTCAAACCATCTTCCAGTACATTGCCTCATAATCACCATCTGACATTTCTTACTGATCCACTGCGCTGTTTATACTTGTATAGAACTCTCCACTGTATTAAAGTGTACAATATTGTTTGGAAAACACAGGGAACATTGAGAAAATCATGAGAAGTGACACTGGCTGACTTCCCCACTTGAACTGTGTATTCCACTGGAGACTCATGGATCATCAAGTGCTCTGAATTTCCCAATTGGCAAGAGAGAACATGAAGCATCAAAAAAATCTTCCAAACCAGTACAAAACAAAGCAAGAGGATAAAAACCGAGGAAAAATAAAATCAGTCTACTGACAGTGGAAACACAAATTAAATGGAGTTTGTACTCTAATTATGAATCTTTTGTTTCTGCAACAGAGGGAAAACTTATAAATAATTATGCATGTCTACTGAATATTTTACAAGAAAGTGCAAGTACAATATCATCAATGTTTGTACCCCAAGGAACAATTAAAAACAAGTTACTAAGCTGCTGTCTTACCTTTACATTGGTTTTGTTCATTAAGGGTAAATCCATATGGACATCGACGCTGTGGGAAGTGAGGGTAAATTGCATACTGTTGAGTGGGAACAGGACCATGATCAGGAACAACAGGAGGAGCCGTCGTCACATTGTTCAGGAAAACAACAGCTGTTTTAGGCAGGCATAAGTATCCTCCATAATGATTTATACATTTCATTTCTCCCTTGCAAGCATCTGGGATGGTCTCACATTCATCAATATCTGATAACCAACAAAAGGTTTACTTAACACGGAGAAGTGTACAGAGGAGTCACAAATGGGTCAGATTTTGTTGGCATGTCTTGTTCAACAGATTTCTTTCATCATGATCAGGTTTTAGTTGTATTTTCCCCTACAAATTTGCTTAAAATGTGAGCTGATGACAGCATAGCAAAGGCAACAAGTCATCTCGGGCCCTGAGAGTGTAACAGCACTAACAGCATTTCTCCTTAGCCAAAGGGATTAAAAATTAAGATAGAAACAGAGGAAGGACTTAGAAAGAAGTTTGCTGCTACATCAAATCAGGTACAGAAAGAGAAAAAGAACTACAGCAATATGAAAAATTTACTACAGGGAAGGAGGCCATTCAGCCAACAGGGTCTGTTCTGTCTGAAAAAGAGGTATCCAGCCTTAGTCCCACTTTCCCAGTCTTGATCTGTATCCCAGAAGGGCACATAGTTTCAAATGCACATCCAAGATTGTTTTATGTATTTGCTTTCAAGCAGAGAGTTCCAGGCCATCCTAGCAACTAGGTGAATTTTTTTCTCAACTCCCCTCTAATCCTTCTGCCAATTATTTGAAGTCTATGCCTCTTGGTTATTGGCCTCTCTGCTACGGAACTAGCTCCTAGGTCGCTCATAAGTTCAACTCAATCTTCCCTTAGCCTCCTTTGCTCAGAAGAGAACAAACTCAAACTATCCAATCTCACCTCATAGATAAGATTCTCCAGTTCTTGCAACATCCATGCTGACCAGAGCTATACACAATACTCTGGCAGTAACATTAATAGTGTCTTCCAGCATAGCCTCCCTGTTCATATACTCTATGTTATAAGCAAAAAATTGAAAGTACACTGTGCGGCTTTTCAACTATTTTATCCAGTTTAACTTGTCCAGTTACCATCAGCAATCTGTGGACCAACTTTCTAAGATCCTTCTGTTACTCTACACTTGCTCAGTTTATCATTTGGGATGTTGATCGGCACTGGTTCAGTACTGTGGCTGTGGCCAAAACCCATTTAGGATAACAACGTGGGAAAGATGGGTATAGATTTGGGAGGACTTGGGATGAATTGTATACAATGTGCTCAAGGACTTTGGGAGGAAAGGAAGGTTGGAAATGGGGCAGTAGTTTGCAAGGACAGTGGGATCCTGTGTTGGTTTGGTTTTGTGGAGAGCATTTGACAAATAAATTTGAAAAGAGTGACAACACTTGAAGAGAGAGAGAGAGACAGAGACAGAAACAGAAATGGAGACAGAAAGAGACACAGAGAGAGAGAGAGAAGTGTTAACGGGAGCATCTAACATGGGATCCAGGAGGGCATGTAAGGTGAATATCAGTTCAATGGGAAGAGGTACATCTTATGCTCAAGATAAACTCAAAGGAGGAGGACAGAGGACACAATCCAAAGAAAGATGCAAGTTCAGGTAGCAAACAACTGACTGCATTTTGGCAAGAAATTTGTCAAGTTAGCTTGTGGGAGGGAGGGACATGGCCAAGATTGGATGGTCTTAATCTTAGCAGCAAAGGGGGCCATGAATTTCTCAGATATATTTTTCAAGCTGAGGGTGAGGTAAGGGGAGGAGGGTTTAAGAAGGCAGCTTGCAGTCATGAAAAGAAACGGGAGGTGGAATCTTTACCTTCCAGGATGGTCCTGGAACACTGAACTAGTTTTGCACATGCAGCAAGACCAGGTAGCGTTTGAGTGTCCAGCCTGGTCAGACGGTGGATGACTTGTCCACGTGCCTGCCATATCCCTTCAAGTCTGTCCCTTTTGACTTGAGGGAGCAGAGATGAGGTCTATATTGGAGGAACAGTCAAAGTGAGAGAGAGAGGAATAGTTTTATTGGGAGACAAGTAGAAGCGAGACTGCAGTTCCATTAACCACACTCTCAAACTGTCCTGCCACCTTCAATAAGTTATGTACATATGTATCCAGGTCCTTATGCTCCTGCACCTCCTTTAGAACTTACCCTTTGTTCATATTATCTCTCTGCCTTCTTCCTAGCAATATGAAACACTTCACATTTTTGCATTAAATTTCATCTGCCACTTTTTCACCTTCCACTAACCTATGTGCTTTGGAGTCCTACAATAACCTCCTCACAGCTCATTATACCTCCACATTTTGTATCATCCACAAATTTTGAAATTGTGCACAGTACACCTTTAACCACCATTCTTGGTTTCCTGTCACTTGGCCAACTTTATAACAATGTTGCCACTGTCTCTGTTATTCCACAAATTCTAACTTGGCTTACCAGTCTGCTGCACTTTTTCAAATGCCTTTTGGAAGTCCAAGTTCACCACATCAGCAGCATTCCTCTCATCTGCCCTGTTACCTCATCAAAACGCTCAAGCAAATTGGTTAAAGATGATTTGTCTTCACCAAATCAATGGTGGCTTTACTTAATTAGCCCGTATTTGCCCACATGACCATTAATTATGTGCCAAATTATCACTTCAAAAAGCTTCCCCACCACCAAGTTTAAACTGAGTAACCTGCAGTTTTTGGACCTGTATTGTAATCTTTTTTTTGAACAAGGTTGCAAACATTTGTAACACTGCAGAACTCTAGCATCATGCTGGTGCCTAGGAAAGATTAAAAAATTACGGCTTGTGCCTTTGCAATTTTCATTCTTACTTCTCTTAATATCCTTGGATGTATCTCATCCAGTCTCTGTCACCTTATCAACTTTAAGCAGAGATAGCCTACCCAACACCTCATCAATATTGAACTGTTTAGATACCACATTCTACTGGGTGCCTTCAACAAGTCATCCTTTTTCTTCAACCAAGGATTACCTCCACTATGCTTAAAAAAGCCCTCAGCCATGTCTGACCCCTTGCCCACCCTTCTGCCTCATTCCTTCCCCTCCCTCAGAACAATGATAGGGTTCCCTTTATCTTCACTTTCAACCCCACCAGCGTACACATTCAAAGGATCGTCCTCTGCCATATCCGACACCTCCAGCAGGATGCCAGTACCAAACACGTCTTCCCCTTGTCTCCACTATCAATATTCCACAGGGACTTTTCCCTCTGTGACACTCTGGTACACTCCTCTATCAGTCCTAATACTTTGTCACTCCACATGCACCTTTGAATGCAATGACAGAAGATGTAACATGTGCTCTTTCACTTCCTCTCTCCTCGGTGTTCAAGGCCCTGAACACACCTTCCAAGGGAAGAAGCATTTTACTTGTATTTCTTTTAATTTAGTGTACAGCATTTGCTGCTCACAATGCGGTCTTGTTTACATTGGTGGGACTAAGCACAGACTGATGACTGCTCTGCATCTCTGCTCTGTCCATAAAAATGACCCTAGCCTTCCAGTAACGTGACATTTCAATAAACCGTCCTGCTCTCATGCTAATATTTTCATCCTGGGCCTCCTAAGTGTTTTAATGGAGCTCAGCACAAACTGGTGGAACAACTCATTCTGTGCAGACACTTTACAGCTTCTAGGGCTCAAAAGTGAATTCAACAACCTCTGAGCAAGATTGCTGTCCTTCACGTTAGCTTTGCTTTCAAAATGATGGAGCCATTTTCTCTTTCTAATACCCATTTTACATCTCGACCGGTCCTTTATTTACTGATGGAAAGCCTGCCTTCCTATGCATCCTATCTATGCCCCTCATAATCTTGTGCATCTCTATCAAGTGCCCTCTCAAACTTTGCTGCTCCATGGAAAACACAACCCCAGCCTAGCTGATCTTTCCTCATAGCTCAGACTTTCCAGCCCAAGCAGCATCCTCTTAAATCTCCTCTGCACCTTCTCTAGTGCAATCATATCCTTCCTATAACATGATGACCAGAACTGCAAGTAGTACTCCAGTTGTGGCCTAACTAGCATTTTCTATGGTTCCGGCATAACCTATCTACCCTTATATTCTACACCTTATCTAATAAACGCAAATATCCCACCCATCTTCTTAACCATCTTATATATCTGCTGAGCTGCCTTCAGGAAACTGCACATCTGCGCACAAAGATCCCTTTGATCTTCAGTAATTTTCAGGGCTCACCATTTTTGATATAATCCCTTGCCTTATTAGCCCTTCCACAAGATCATTACCTCACGCTATTTCGGGTTGAATTCAACTTGCTATTCCTCTGCCCAGTCTGTTGATATCCTCCAGCAGGTTACAGCTAGCCTCCTCCCTATTTACCACCCTACCAAGTCTTGTGTCATCCATGAAATTCTTGAGCATATCCTCTACATTTAAGTCTAAGCCGTGAATATACACCGTGAATAGACAGCAAGGACCTCAGTCCCAAGTGCTGGGGAATCTTCACAGAAAGATCCCTCTGCTTCCTGCTTCTCAGTCAACTTGGATCCAATGTGCTACCTTATCTTGGATCCCATGGACTCTTACTTGCATGACCAATCTGGCTTGAAGGATCTTACCAACAACCTTGCTAAAGTGGGCCACACCCAATGCATTGCCTTTATCATCGCTCTTGGACACCTTCTCAAAAAATTCAGTCAATTTTTTCAAACATGATCCTGCTGTGATCTGCCTGTACCGCTCATAAACACAGCTTTTCACTGTATTTTGGTACAGGTGACAATAAAATTAATCAATCAAATCCATGCTGACTATCCCAGATTAATCTGTGGCTCTCCAAGTGCAGACACTTTCTGTACCTGAATTAATTCTTGAAACTTCCCCAGCATTGATGTTAGATTTACTGGGCTGTAATTTTCTGGTCAATCCATTCCCCCCACTTTTCTAATAATAGAGTCATAGAGATGTACGCACAGAAACAGATCATCGGTCTAACTTGTCCATGCCGACCAGATACTTTACGTTAATCTAGTCCCGTTTGCCACCATTTGGCCCATATTCCTCTAAAACCTTCCTATTCATATACCCATCCAGGTGCCTTTAAATGCTGTAATTGTATCAGCCTCCACCACTTCCTTTGGCAGCTTATTCCATACATGCACCAACCTCTGTGTGAAAAAGTTGCCCCTGAGGTCCCTTTTAAATCATTCCCCTCTCACCTTAAACCTATGCCTTCTAGTTTTGGACTCCTCTACCCTGAGGAAAAGACCATGACTATTCACCCTATCCATGTCCTTCATGATTTTATAAACTTCTATAAGATCACCCCTCAGCCTCCGATGCTCCAGGGACAATAGCCCCAGCCTATTCAAGCCTCTGCCTGTAGCTCAAAACCTCCAACCCTGGCAATACCCTTATAAATCTATTTTGAACCCTTTCAAGTTTCACAACATTTTGCCTGTAGCTGGGAGACCAGAATTGAACATAGTATTCCAAAAGTGGCCTAACCAATGTCCTGAATAACTGCAACATGACCTCTCAACTCCTATACTCAATGTACTGACCAATAAAGGCAAGCGTACTAAACACCTTCTTTACTACCTTGTATACCTGCGACTCTGCTTTCAAGGTACTATGAATCAGCACCCCAAGGTTTCCTTGTTCGGCAACACTCCCCAGGACCTTACTGTTAAGTGTGTAAGTCCTGCCCTGATTTGCCTTACCAAAATGCAGCACCTCATATTTATCTAAAATAACCTCCATGTGTCACTCCTTGGCCCATTAGCCCATCTGATCAAAGTCCCATTGTATTCTGAGGTAACCTTCGCATCCACTACATCACCAATATTGGTGTAAATCTGCAAACTTACTAACCATGCCTCTTACATTCATATCCAAATCATTTATATAAATGACAAAAAGCAGTGGACTTAGCACCAATCCTTGTGGCACACCGCTGGTCACAGGCCTCCAGTCTGAAAAGCAACCCTCTATCAGTATCTTCTGTCTCCTAACTTTGGGCCAATTTTGTATCCAAATGGCTAGCTGTCCTGATATTCTGTGTGATCTAACCTTGCTACGCAGTCTATCACGAGGAACCTTATCTCACGGTCAGGAAAATTGCTATACAAATGCAATTATTTTACTTTAAAGAAATATAGGAATGACAGTTCACTATTCCTAGTGTTGGGAAGAGTGAAGATCTCTGTCTATTTTAATCCTTTTATTCATTTTAAAAAGTGGTACTTCTAAAATCTCGTAATGCAATTCACACCTGAAAAAGGATGAGACTACACACAATTGTTTTCATTCTGGGCAAGGGAGGTTAATTGGCAGTCATGAAGTCACTAAAAGGAAATATATGTTGTTACACACCAACTTGACTTTCTGTTGCATGTTTAATGAATAATTCCTATGCAACTACAGCAACTTCATGAAAGTTGTTCAGTGGTTAGTTGCAAGATCTTGTAAATATGCTGCTATCAACAGAGTGACTTATATTGGCTAGCAATTTGTGACAATTTCAAATTCCTGAACATCTTACTTCCTATAAATTGTTGGCTAATTTATGCATTAATAATGGAATGCTTCATTCAGATTGTGTTATTATTTCAACAAAATCTGGCCCATTGTCATTTCTGCATCGCCTGTAAACAATGATTACTTTCAAACAGTATACTGAATATACTGCTCCAATGATTGCTGTATTCAGTACATTTATTAAAATGGATTATAGTTGCTAGTTCTGGAATCTAATTGATATTTTATGTATGAGAATGCTGAAACAATTCTGAAGTTGTTACTATCAAAATAAGCATATAGAACACCCTGAATTAAGTAAATATATGGAAAATTACAACAAATAAATACGAAAGTGTAGATAGGAAAAAAAACTTCCCACCAGTTTCCAAGTTCATGGTCTCACCTCTGCACTGCTGTCTTTCAGGATCCCATTGATAACCATCTGTACACTGCTGTAAGAACATAAGGACAAAGAGAGATTTCAAAGTGCAGCCCTGTGTCTGGATTAATAGGAAAATAATATTGTACAACAGTGTAGGGAAAGAATAAGTGACTGCCACCATTTAACTCAGTGTTTTCAGTGAGAAGCAACTGTTGTTATTAAGAAAGGTGCTTTTTCTTCAATTGCAAGCAACTAAATGAACACATTATAAACACACTAGAACAAAAGTATTTAGGGTTGAATACATGATGCATTTATTACTGTGAATGATGAATGATTGTAAACCAAATTATAATAGAATCTTATGTTGTTCTGAACTATCAACTTGCTCAGTTCTTAGTAGCATCTTACCGTATATGTGATGGTTTCATCGATTTCCTGTGACCTTATGGTATGGAAAATAAATGCAACCAGCAGGCACCATTGCAACATCTTGTATCTGGACAATAACGACATGCAATCTATTATTGTTAACAAAAGCAAGCTCTACCATGCTTTTCAATTCATTTATATTTATCATTCAAAAACTGAATATAAAGGATTGTTTTGCACTGCTGTATTGGAATGAGTTCAATTTTAAACTAAACACTTTGAGAAGTCTTGACAGGCAACAGTGCATTATGAGAAATGAAGTATTTATGCAATTATAGATCCTCCTACACATGTTTTCAATTAAATCTATTAATTTACATTGCATTAAGTATTTTCAGAGTCAATGACTTGATGGTAACTTCACTTAAAAGGAAATTCTCTCCATCTCTGAACATTTAAATTCCCACCTATCTTTGATATCTTATTTACTTAGCATTTTTAACCCTATATGTATAAAACTCCATTGTAACAGCTTAAGTACGTCATAAATGACAGGCTAGTAAAATAGCCTACAATGAACATGAATAAAGCAGTTTTACATGCTGAGGTACAGACTTCAACATTTATTTACCACTATTTCTAGAAGCGGCAGATACATATATAAAATGACGTTACCTTTAAAGAAAAGCAGATCTTCACAAATCTCCTGGTCAACTTGACTTTTTTTAAATCACTGGCTGGAAGAGCAGTGTTGAGTGTGTGAGCTGTCAGTAATTGTGAAGAGATTGTGAGGAGGTTCAGCGGCAGTTGTGTCGCTCCCTCTGCAGGCTCACAGGCTAATCACTATCCCCGAATTAATAGCGGAAAAGCGAATAACAAACCCTTCAAGGTCAGTGCAGAGGGGTGTCACATAGTCGCTCTGCAGCCCTACAGGCGGGACTCACTCATACGACAGCCAAGTAAAATTGCATCTGTTACATACTAGCGGTTTGTTCAGGAAAGGAGCAGCTGATCGCGAAGGAAGATACTCTTCCAGATCTGAAGATTTCATCATGCACAGTTACTATGAAACATAAACAGCAAAACAAATTGCAATGTGTGGGATTTTTCAATATTTTGATTCAAACTAGAACACATGAAAAAAAAACTCACAAGGCAGTTTACTTAGCATACAAAAATGCTCCTTATAATTCTTTACTAGAATAATACAACAATGATGCTACAGTGATAGTAAGCATGTTTTCAAGACGTTGTAAGAGAGCCGAGGTCAGTATTAGCAGTTCTGCAAACGGCCTCAGTTTGCGCTGTTCCGAGACTCCGGGAGCCAAAAACAACACGGAACACGAGCACAGCGTGTGGGCATTTACTCCGGGAAAGTTTTGCTCACGTGTATGAGGCAAGCAATGAATTTAAAAACAAAACAAACTGATAAATAAACACACGGTGACCGGACGTACAGCTAAACATACGCATCTGGACCCCTCAGATGTCCCTTACTCCGAATAGCTAGTTTAAATTCCCAATGCAATATGTCTCCGAATCTAGTTGGAGACTTGGGGGAAGCAAAAAGCCATGTCTAACTCCTGGGTAACTGTACAACTAACTGAAATAATTTTTAAAAAGTTCTGAAGGACAAGATAGTGTGTACAGCTAAAATTAGTATTCTTTCTATAAGTGCACCGAGTGTAAGGAACACATTAAATGAGCTGCAGGCACAGATTCAAATTGAAATCTACTATAATAGTAACCATTAGAGACATAGCTGCAGGATGGTTATGCCTGGCAACTAAATGCACCAAGTTATAAGGTTTATAGGAGGGATAGAGCAAACGGCAGAGGGGGTGGAGTAGCATTACTGATTAGAAACAGAATCACTTCTATGGTGAGGGAGGATGTAACGAGGGGAAAACACCCAGTGGAGACCTTATGGGAGGAACTGAGGAGCCATAATGGAACTATAACCACAATAGGTATCATATATAGACCACCTGGTAGCAGCTCAGAAATGCTAGATTGTACAAGATAACTATGTACTAAAGGCAGAGTAGTATTGATGGGGGCTTCTAATCTTAACATAGATGAGTACCTGCCAGAAAGGTTATGAATTTCTAGAGGGTGTCCAGGATAGTTTGGTGCAACAAGGGGACAAGCAAAATTGGATCTCGTAATGACCATGAGCCTGATTTAGTTAGTGACTTAGTTGTTTATTAGTATTTGGAAGGCTAAAGGGTGATTTAATTGAAGTTTTAAGCATATAACAGGGAAAGGCAGGATAGATAAACAATTTCCACTGGTTGAAGATTCTAAAACCAGGGAGCATAGAGTAAGAATTAGGGTCAGGCCATTCAGAAGAGAAGCTAGAACGCACTTCTACACATAAAGAATAGTGAAGGTTTGGAACTCTCTTCCTGAAACAGCGGTCAATACTAACTCAAGTGTAAAATTTAAATCTGAGATAGACAATTTTGTAAAATTATTAAGCAAGGGTATCAAGGGACATAGGCCCAAGACAGGCAAATGGAGTTAAGTCACAGTTCATCCATGGCCTTACGGAATGACAGGCCAGGTCCAAGGGGCTAAATGGCCTCTTTTCCTATGTTTCCCCCTCCCCAAGGTGCACACATACATGGACTCCCCATGTGACCCAACCCCTTACTCCCCCTTGGCACACGCTAGACCCTGCTGACATCCTCTGACAACATCCTAACACCCCAAAGTTTTGGAGAAGATTTGTAGCTCAGGCTGTGGATGAGGTTGCAGACTTACTCACTGAGCCAGGGTGTTTGATTGCAGACGTTTTATCACCCTGCTAGGTAACATCGTCAGTGCGCCTCTGCTGAAGCATTGGTGTTCTGTCCCACTTGTTATTTATATGCCTTGGTTTGCTGCGCTGGTTGGTATTACTTCTGGCTCTGTTTTTCAGTGGTTTGTATTTCGGGTCCAACGTGTTTGTTGATGGAGTTCCAGAATTCCGCGAAACGGAGACATGCCAGGGAATTCCTGGAGGCCTGGCATTCCAACCGGAACTCCGTCAACAAACACATTGAACTGGGCTCGATATACAAACCACTGAAAAACAGAACCGGAAGTGATGCCAGCCACCCCAGCAAACCGAGGCATATAAATAATAAGTGGGACAGAACACCAATGCTTCACTGGAGGCGCACTGATGATGTTACCTAGAAGGGTGACAAGATGTCTGCAATCAAACACACTGGCTCGGCGAGCAAGTCTACAACCTCATCCTAACACCCCACTCCAAAACTTCACCCGCCCCCAATTCTCTAACACCACCTCACACACTTACACCCACTAATGCTCCAATCCCCTGAGCTGACCATGCCAGCTTATTCTTCTGTCACCTTACCCAGCCATTCAACTCAGCTGCCACCCTGTCACCATGTCACCCTGCCATCCTACTAACCCTTCTACCCAACCCACTGTGCCCACTTACCACACTTGCACTCATTCCTCACTAATACACTAAAAATCTCTTTCAAATTCCTCATTTGTGAATGAATTTGCCAGCATACAGCAGCTAGTGTCCTAAAAAGATGGTGTGACTTGTCTTTCCTCTGACCATCTGCTCTAACGGAATACACTTGGCGTTTATGAAGAGGTCAGGTTCAGAATTCTCGGTGAGAAATGCAGAGGTCCATGGCTGGAGACAAAAGTAGGAGTTTGAGTGGCATTCTGGTAGTGTCAGAAGATTCAGCCCACCATTGCTCAACCATTCTCCTCCCTCAACTTGACCCCACAGCTCAAAGACTTCCTGACAAGTGGTTTGAGTCCTAGGGTCAACTTTCTTAATTGCATTGAGAAAAGTGCACCTTTTCAGAGCAGGGAAATGTCTCAAACAGTCAATAAAACATAGTGGGAGATGCAGGGGGAGATTTTTGATTATCTTCAGAGCTCCGTTGCAGGTGATTTATACTGTCTCACATTTGTCACAACATTCCACATCATCATTTGGTGAAACTTTATGAGTGCAAAACTTCCTGTGTAACATTCATCTCACCGGATTGGTAATCTCTGAGTGTCACTGTTCTTTTCCTGAAAGAAAGCCCTCATTATTTACAATGATCTGATGTAATCAGTGTGAAAGAACTCTTGATTTTGGAATCAAACATAAGAATAATAAACTAATCTTGAGCATTATCAAAATATGACAATATTAATAGATCATGTCAGAAGTCTCAGTGTTGGAAAAAGAGTTGTTGAAAATCAATGGTTGAACATATTATAAAGAAAAAAGAAAATATATGACAGAGAATGCATGTTGGAAATTAATGACCTTGAACATCATAGGTGATGCTAAGTCTAATAACCCACAAACTACATTGCATTCCCCGGCATTGCATTTTAGCACACAGCAATTGTTATTTACTTAAATTACATTAGTTTTGCTATAATTTCACATTAAGCTATAGACTTCCATCTAGTGGCAACAATGAGACAAATGATTTTGTTCTTGCATTACTATAGCTCATGACTGTCATGTCAAAATGGAAGCGCTAGCGATAATTCTGTCTCGTATATATTTAAAGTGTCAGAAAGATAATGAAGTAAACATTCAATGGAAAGGGAAGAAGTTAAATTTCAATAATTAAAAAAGTTGAATTTGAAAGACAAAAGGCATTTGTAGAGACCAATAGGAGAAAAAAATGTTATGACGAAGTGAGAATGATGAACTGGTTCTCTGCTATTCACCTCCTTGGTTGGTCACTGCAAAAATTTGAGCTCTTTTTACATAGGACTATGCCTCTCTCTTTAGTTAAAAATATTGTTTTCACTGTGTTTCACCGTGAGCAATAAGGAGCCAATTACAAAGTTTGCTTGAGCCAAATGAAAAAAAATCATTATCAAACTAAAGGAAAATAGAAGTGCGATGTCATGAGGTGTATATTCAGTTTTTTCTATGTTAGTTGATAAGATTTTAAAGATTAACTGTCTATATTTGTCACTATGACAAATCTTTGTGGTTAAAAGGTATGACATTTACAGTTTTAAGCAATAATATTGAACATGTGAAATATGTCAGTGTGTATCTGAATAAAGGTAACTTTTGTAATATGGTTTATAGTTTATTATGTTTTGGAAAGTTGGTTTCTAAAGTGGAAAAATGATGAATAGCTATAACACAATATCTATATTGTTTGTGTGTATGTATGTATTTAGAAGAGAGGGACATTGTTTTAGTTTCATTTTTGAGGTCAGTAAATGGTTATCTGAAAGTTTGATGATACAGCATTTTTGTTGAGGGTTTATGGTCTTATATAGAAACATAAAAACATGGAAGACAGGAGCAGGAGGAGGCCATCGGCCCTTTGAGCCTGCTCCGCCATTCTTCACGATCATGGCTGATCATCCAACTCAATAACCTAATCCTGCTTTCTCCCCATAACCTTTGATTCATTCGCCCCAAGTGCTACATCTAGTTGCCTCTTGAATACATTCAATGTTTTGGCATCAACTACTTCCTGTGGTAATGAATTCCATAGGCTCACCACTCTTTGGGTGAAGTAATGTCTCCTTATGTCTGTTCTAAATGGTCTACCCCGAATACTCATACTGTGACCCATGGTTCTGGACACACCCACTGTTGGGAACATCCTCCCTCTATCCACCCTGTCTAGTCCTGTTAGAATTTTATAAGTCTCTATGAGATCCCCCCTCATTCATCTGAACTCTAGCGAAAACAATCCCAACCTGATCAATCTCTCCTTGTACATCAGGCCCACAATCCCCGGAATTAGCCTGGTAAACCTTCGCTGGAGTGAAGCTTGAGGTGAACAGTTCAGTGCATCAAAAACAAGATTATGAAAAAGGAAACCTGCAGTTGCTTAGTGACAGATATCCCAGAAAGACAGAATTGTTCAGAAGGGCAGGCAGTGTTGCAGGTTCCGAGA